ACCAGACCAGCTCCAGACCAGTTTTTCAGAAACCATCAGGGACAGGAATCGAGGCTGAGAGCAGAAAGAGGAGCAGCGTGAACGTGTCCGGAGGTTTCTGAGGGCAGGGGGGCTAAAACTGAGGGAGGGGGTCTGTAAATGGGTCAGAGGATCTTAGTTTAGGCCCGCAGGAGGACTCTGAACAGAACTGGATCAGAGGGTTGGCCCAGAGTTCCTGACAACAGCTGTGCGGGAACTTCCAGAGGACCAGGAGACCGCCGAAACTCCAGGTCTCAAAGGTGGGTCAGTCCCTCAGTCAGAACAGGGACTCGGAGGACTGAGATTATTGATTATTGATCATTAAAAAAACCCTGAGACAGTGACGGTACCAGATCAATAAAACTCAAAATTAAACAAAAATAAGACAAAGGTCAAAGTTCGGAGAGAGGAACAAACAAACAGGTCAAAACATCTGGAGGAACATCTGCAGCTACTGAGGTGAAGGTCCAACAGATTAGTCACATGACCGGGTCGAAGACGGACCTTCAGAGAGGGTGACCCCGAATCTTCACCGCATCCTGAACGACAGTTTTTTTCCTCTCAGCTCCATTTTGTGGTCGATTACAGACGCAGGAACCAGGAGAACTCACGAGAACTCACGAGAACCCGCAGACTGACGTTCAATCACATGATAACGAGTCGTCTCTCTAAAGACGGTTCCACGAATCTGTCCTGGTTTGGGGGATGAGGACTAGTGGTGCAGTTCTCCTGGAGTCCTGTTCTGGGTCTTGTTGTGGAAACTGTCCCTGCAGCGCCTCGTGCCGGCACCTCTCCGATCTGGGTCATTTTCTAAATATACCGCTGCTCCGGTCCTCCCTGCAGAGACGGCCCTGCTGCCTGAGGGGGGACCGTTTGAGCCTCCTGGTTCTGGTCCAGCATCCTCCCATGAACCGCACGTGTCTGTCATGTGACGGCGCTCTATAGATAGATCTGCAGAGAACCCGAACAGTGACGGTACCAGATCAATAAAACTCAAAATTAAACAAAAATAAGACAAAGGTCAAAGTTCGGAGAGAGGAACAAACAAACAGGTCAAAACATCTGGAGGAACATCTGCAGCTACTGAGGTGAAGGTCCAACAGATTAGTCACATGACCGGGTCGAAGACGGACCTTCAGAGAGGGTGACCCCGAATCTTCACCGCATCCTGAACGACAGTTTTTTTCCTCTCAGCTCCATTTTGTGGTCGATTACAGACGCAGGAACCAGGAGAACTCACGAGAACTCACGAGAACCCGCAGACTGACGTTCAATCACATGATAACGAGTCGTCTCTCTAAAGACGGTTCCACGAATCTGTCCTGGTTTGGGGGATGAGGACTAGTGGTGCAGTTCTCCTGGAGTCCTGTTCTGGGTCTTGTTGTGGAAACTGTCCCTGCAGCGCCTCGTGCCGGCACCTCTCCGATCTGGGTCATTTTCTAAATATACCGCTGCTCCGGTCCTCCCTGCAGAGACGGCCCTGCTGCCTGAGGGGGGACCGTTTGAGCCTCCTGGTTCTGGTCCAGCATCCTCCCATGAACCGCACGTGTCTGTCATGTGACGGCGCTCTATAGATAGATCTGCAGAGAACCCGAAATAATCTGGACAAGATACAGAAACAAAGTCCAAGAGAGACGAGCAGACGGGGAAGATGGAGGAGAAGAGGACGGAGAAACCGGATCAACGAAGTTCTCCAGGAGACCGACAGAGTTCAGAGAGTCCAGGGGGACGGGTTCTACGACATCTGGGGGTTTCAGACAATCATCAAAACAGACTGACAGACTTTACACGACGAGTCTACGTGATATTATCGTCATCAACTACCTGCTGTGTGTGTCTCTGTAGTTCACACTCAGTCCGTTTCCATGACAACTGAGAAAACCGAATTATCGCCTTATTCCGATAAAGACCGGACAACTGAAGGTCATGTAAACACCTTAGTCCGACTATAATCAGAGTTTGAGAACTCTGATTAAGACACACAGATAATGAGATTGGAATTAGATTTTCTCTACCATGTAACCAGCGTAGTCGGAGTATGATCGGATACAGGCCACGCCCCCGTAACCCTGTAACAAAAACCCAGAGTAGAGGAGTAGCGTTTGTCCCATCAGCAGAAAAGTAGCGCGTCCATGTTTACGCCAAGAAGTCCGATCCAGCAAAAATAAAAGAATTATGAGTTTAATCCGATTAAACTGTGGCTGTAAACGTCCTGACTGACTGGTTATTTAGACGGCGAGCGTCCGACATCGACACGTTGAATAACACGGGTCTCTAATGATGTAAACATGAATGAAATCGTCGTTCCCGCCTTCAGATTCTTGTCTTCAGCGAAAACATGAAGAGCTGGTCGGAGTTCGTCTGAATGAATTCGATCGTTAGACGACGATCTTCATCGTGGTCGACATCGAAGACAGGATGTAAACCTGCGAGCCGCTGAAACGCCGACTCTGAAGAGGAAGTCTGTAAAACTCTTAGATCA